TCAGATAACACATCCCTCAAAATTTCACATCGTTTCGAGCAGCGAGCTATTTTTAAAAATTCGAACATCAAAACAGCGATTAACAAGCTCGACAACTTGATAATTAAATCACAACACACAATTTATCGTCCGAGGCCTTTTCATAAGACCAAGGACTCGACATTGTTCCATTATCCACCGACTTACACGACTTTCGAGGTCTCGTTCGATTTTCGAGAAAATCGAAGAGATCCCGAACATACGATAACACATAAAATCACATCAATCACATAAAATCATAACGAACAATCTAACGCACATTATTTTCGTCACACAAATCACACATATTCATGAATAACATAAACGATATAAACGAGACGGGATCGAGCCTTTGTACCGTTCTCGGGAATCAAACGAAAACGGACGAACACGAACGGGGTTTAAGCTCGACGGAAAAAGGTCGTCTCGCCGAAAGAGAAGGCTCGCTGTGCACGGAATGAACGAAGCTGCTGCTGCTGGTCGGTCGCCGGTTGTCGCTGCAAGGTCGTCGGAGGAAAGTTCCAAGGATGATGACGATGAAGGTGCTGCGAGATGATGAAGGGACGATGATGATGATGAAGACGACAGATGGTGAGGGACGATGGTGATGATGAAGACGATCGAAGAAAAAAAAAAAGAGAAAAGAAAACTGCTGCGGGATGTTTGGCCAAAACGATCGATACCCATATATATATATACATATATATACACATATGTATATTAGGTTTGGGAAAAGAACAAAATTTCTTGTTGTCCAAGACATAAAATCACGTTCAAAATAAAAGAAAAGGAAAATCTGTCGGGCCGGGCCCGAGAAATTTGGGCCAATAGGATTTTTGGGCCGGTTGGGATAACAAAACAGCTCACAGGCTCAAATAAAAATTTAAACAGATATATTCGGGCCCAATTCGGTTACAACAAAATTATCGGGCTCGATTCCGAAATGCAAACGCGCGATAAAAATAAACCGAAAAATAAACATATATATTCTACACATTATCACATACACATTTATACATATTAATAATTTAATAAATCACAAAAATCAAATAAACAATTAGACAAATTTCACAATTAGCATTTAAACACATTTGACAAATAAATAAATATAATGGCATTCAATAAAATAAAATATAAATATTATTACCAATTAATAATAACAATAATAATAGCAATAAAAATAATAAAAATAAATCCCAAATAATCCACAAATAAAAGGAGCATTACAGTCTACCCACCTAACAAAGGATTCCGTCCTCGGAATTCGAAATAAAACAATGATAACTAGAACACGAAAAAGTAACAAGAGATCAAAAAGCGAAGTTCGGATATCTCCTCCTAATCTCGGATTCCTTCTCCCAAGTCGCCTCGGACTCATCGTGTCGGCTCCATAGCACCTTCACCAAACTCACTGCCCGGTTCCTCAGCTGAT